ACCCACTTTCTAAATGGATATACCGAGGCTATATCATTTGCAAGATAACTCAACATTGATAATAAGGATTTTAATTGCTTTAACCAAAATGGAATTTTTTCTCTTACATCAACTCTTCTGAGATGCCATGTGCAAATAATCTAGGGCAAAAACATGCTGTTTCTTCAAATATCTGAACTCTCACTTAGGCTCTCGTAATTGCCAGTGCTTAACATAGTACTTGGAACATGATAGAATTCATACAATGTGAATGAATCTCATTAAGAAATTTTTGTCCATATGGCTCCTCATGCTAATAACATTTTGTTATTACTTTCTATCATGAAATTATTTATTTATCAACTGCAAAGTACTTTCTAAACATAATGTCCATCCCATCATCACAAGGCAGCTAGTTAAATAATTTATACTGAGAGTTGTAAACATAAAAGCATTATTGATAATTTTTAAAGGCTCACCTAATCTTCCTAACACTGTATATTATTAGAGTATACTCATCAATTACAGAGCAGAATACACTGACCACAGAAAAACTATAAAAAGATTTAATTCACCGAAGGCTTCTTTGTGATTTTTTTTGTTTCTGGATCATGTTACAAAAATGAACTTTAAAATACACCACAGAAGGAACAAATCCAATAACTCAAGTGGGAAATATTGCAGGGAATCTTACTTTGTGTTTTTAAAATCTTTCCAAAAATAAACAAAACCCAATTTTTTTTTAAACCGTATCCATGGCGAACTCTTCTGATTGCCTTTCCACTGTGATCAGAGAATGCTTTATCACATGCATTTGATGGCCTTCATTTAACCAAATTGGATGATACTTTTTTCAGCCTTCAACTGCATTTATTGAAAATTGACTCTGTTTATTGCTTTATAGGCATACCTTGCTAATGCAAGTTTGTTTATTCAGGTAGATAAATCAGTTAAGATGCTGTTCATTAAAAACACCCCTCTGTACGGTGCACATAGTCAGGTGTGTGATGATGGAAATATTCTAGTCTTACCAAAGACTCAGAGCAGGGTTTTATTTTCAAAGTCACGACCCACAGGGCAGAGACATTTTAAACACTGAGATACATTGAGTGATAGGGGCAGATCAATACATGACAATATCTGGCAATGGTTCCAATTTCTGTGGATTCCCGGCTGTGATACCTGCCTAAAATGTACAGAAGGATTTCTGTGGATTCCCGGCTGTGATACCTGCCTAAAATGTACAGAAGGATTCGATGAAACCAAATTAAACAAGGAGGCTTCAGAAAGTTTGTGGAGAAATCCCGTTCTCTTTTTATTTTTCCATGAACTTTTTGAAGCCCCTTATACAGCTTAAGTTTATTGAACAGGGTGCTTAAAGTCACAAGATGGGCTAACTGAAGCTTGGTCGAAGTAAACCTACTAAGGCCCTGTGCTTTTAGAGCAACTGCTCGTGGCCATGAGTGCTTTCACCAAGGCTGCGCCAAAGGAGGCGGAGACAGGTGATCAGGAAGAACATGGATGGTGTCTGGTTGGCAGTGAAGCAGTCTGGAAGAATTGACATCGGTAAATCCATGAACAGCAGAGTCCCTGCAAACCACAGTGTAGCCCAGGGAAGTGATCTTAGCTACACAGGTGAAATGAATCATGGGCCAATAATGGTAAAATTTTTCTTTCTCTTAGTATCTTTTATGAACCCAAACCAAAGCTAAGTGAATTCTGACTCACAGTCACCCTACAGGACAGAGGATAGAGCTGCCAGCTTCTCACCCACCCCACCCCACTCCGCTGAGCAGAGCAACTGGTGGGCCCAAACTGCTGACCGTGGGCTCATCAGTTCAACCCAACATAGCCCACTTTGCCCCATGATACGGAGAGGAAACCCTTGATGTAGATGGGTGTTTACAGTCTTTCTTCTCATAGTATTGTAAACAATACTGCTTTAGAATGTTTCTCCATAGGACGAGGCTCCACAACATATGTGGAAAAGGTCCATGCTGTTGTAGTTCTACTTTGCCACACACTCTTCATATGTATAATGGTTATCCAGGTGGGAAACTAGAGTTTTAGCATGTGTGTGTTTTAATAACAAATAACCTTCCAAGTTGTTATTCAAAGTCAATATATACGTTTACACTTCCCACCAGATAACTGTGAGATTTCCGATACACCACAAATTGGCCAAATCCAGCACACTCAAAAATGTTCATTCTCCTAGAAAATAAACTGTGGACAACTGGCCATAGATATTAATACCAGAACATTATAATGCTTCTAAAGATTGGCTTTTTAATAAAAAATTATCTATAGTTAGTGAAAATTAACTTGCTCATGGAAAAGCTAGAAAAGTAAGATGGCAAACGTAAGTTTTAAAAAGAGTTATGTTGACATTTACACATTAGTTTTCAATTCTCTAGTAAGATAATTCCCTATAATATTGTGTCAAAATATTTATGTCGAACTGATGTGTTTTGCTAAAGAGGTAGTGTTTCCTGTCTAAACAATTAATTAGAAGACTTCAGTGATCCCTTCCAAGAGTTACAAAGTCACTCTTAATGAAGAGTAATAAAACAATGTGGGGGTGGGGCGGGGGTGGAGAAATAAAACAGGAAGCGAGACATAAGCTAGATTATTATCTCCGTTTTATAACTGGGAGTCTTGCCTTGAATTCTCTAGCATCTTTGCCATCATGCCACTAACGTGAAATCATTCACTTACTAGACCATAAGGAGGTTTCAAATTTATGAACAGGGTTTAAAAATCAAACACAATTCTTGCTTCTCTTCTGAAACAAAAGTATACCTTGCAATATTTCATTCTTATTAGCAAAAGTATTTTGGGTGCTGATAATCATGTAGTACAAATAGAACCATTTTCCACTTAGCCAGCTAGAGACCATCTGGTAATCATTAGGTTACTGAATTAATTGGCATAATACATCAATCTGTGAGTCATAAATTATGAGAAAAATTTGCCCAGCTTGATTTAAACCAAGGCATCATAGGTATGCATAAACACTTTTACCCTACCCAGGCAAAGCCCACATGTCAGTATGAGACTGGCAATTTGAGTTGATTAGGGCTAATGAAGCTCAGCTCCGACAGGTCAACATCCATGCAGAACTATATGCCCATAAAGTACTTCTCAAATATACACCAGCTCCCTTTCCAGTAAGGGGACCACAGGAAGAGAGATTATGGTGGGGCAGAGTATATCTGCAATCCCTCCTGGGGGAAACATGTAAGGTCATGTCTACTTTGGTCACGTTAAATTTTGGTAGACTAAAGCTTGAGAACGAGACAGTCAGGCTTTGATGAAAAGAGCACCGTATCTACACAGTTACCACTGCACTTCGATCTTTTGAGAAGCAAGAGAGAGAGAGTAACAACATCGATGCAGCCCTTTAGACATGTTGCTAGAAATCATTCTCCACTCCTCACAATACACACATCCAAGTAACAGTCAAATGGAAGCCAAAGAAAATATAAGCAACTACTAGAGTTTCTTCAGTTGTCTTTATCAATCCACTTTGAGTCTACTTCATGTTATCCAAAAATGTTATACTTCAACAAGAGCAAAGACTTTGATTTGAAACCCAGTGGCTACATCTATTCTTTTTTTTTTTTCATGTAAAAACTATGTACTTAAAAAGAAGGGGTACACTTATTTAAAACATAGAGTCTTCTCAGCCATCACATATCCTCTTGTAGTTCCACGTGATCAAGCCCTCATGAGTTCATTTCACTCTTTGTCTTCTACAGAAAACCATTGTTTTTAAGAATCGAGTTGAATACCCTTAATACTAGTCATTATCTTGTGAATTTCCCTATTGGAGCTTTATCGCAAATACTGGTTCCATGGGGTTCAATAAAATGGTTGGGAGTTAATCATTTGAAAATGTGTCCTATGCATCTCAAAAATTATAGTAAAAGAAACATTTTTAAATGATAAACACGGTCCTTTGTGGAGTGTAAAATTTAGAAGATCAATGTGGAAAAACTAAACATAGTGGGACGGTACCAATAATTATGAAAAACACTTTGGCATCCTCCTGCAAGCACAAGCAGTGTCTGGCAATAACCTTTGTTCACATATGACCTTCTTCGGGTGACATCAGACACTTTTTCATGTGAATTGTTTCTACTTGACCTCTTCAGATAATCACCTTTCTGTTTATTTGTTGGCCTGACCTCAGAAATGGGCAGACCCATCATCTCCTCAGAGCATTTAAATGTCATGGAAGAATTTAAACAAAGGCGGATACCCTTGACCCAGTAAATAGACTGTGTATGAAGACAGCAATGGAGAAAGGCTCCGTGCATTCAAAGACTTTGCCCGCAAGCAAAGGTACCAGATGTATTAGTGATTTATCTTGCTCATGAGCCCAATGCAATATATGGCATTGAATTGCAAAGAAAATAGATAACACACGGAATTCTCAGCCAGAAGCTCAACTTTGTCTTCATTAGTCTTTCCAACTCTGGCTCTCCAGGTGTCAGCAGAGGGCTCTTCCTGCACTATTAAGAAATCTGGCCACTCTGACAAGTGTGATAAGGAGGAGGCAGGCCAGGTGCAGGTGTTTGGAAGAACTACTTGTCTCCACTTGCTGAGCCGATGAAGACTATCAGCTAGTGACTTCCTAGAGGAGTAAAACCTGGAATGGACTGTTTCCTAAGTATCCTTCAAACTCTGATTAGAAATGCCAAGTGAGAATGGTTGCAAGACATCTGTTTGGGGCATTAGTCCTGATAATAGCGCCTTTGCTTTATTGTTGAGACATACATATTGACATTATGTGCTAAATGGCATGGACCTGCTTGATACCCTGTCTTCTCTCACGCAAAGCAAGGATGAACGGAGAAAGGAAAAGGCCAAATTTTGATTAAATTAGTTGGTTTGTCAAAAAGCAAAGACCATTGCTAATGAGAACCTTTTTCTGTGATTCTTCCACACCCCCAATGTTTGTTTTAGAAGCAGAAGGAAAGAAGGCCAGTAAGAAAGATAGCATCTTTTCACCTTACCTTGGAAACTCGGTTCGCCACTTCTCTGCCCACAGTCAGCCCTTGAACAAAAGTCCTGGCAGCAATGAATGCACGCGTGACCTGGATCTTCAGTTTCCGGGGCACATCTCCAAATGGCTTCAGCTGGTCCGTGTACTTGCTCACACATTCCAAGTAGTCCTCACTGAAATGATACTGCGGGTTTATCAGCTGAAACATCCGCTCGAGGAGCCGAGCCCAGAAGTCATGGAGCATGTCCTCCAGACTCACATTGCCCCCGGTGTAGTATCTCTTCAGCTCCGTGAAGAGGTCCTGAAACACTTCCGAGTTCTGCATGTACAGCATCCCATAGGTGCGCACGAACATGTCATTGAGAGACTTTTCAGCATTCTCCAGCAGCTCGCGGAAAAATTCTGCCAATAAAACAAGAAAGTGGTCATAAACTCAGTCAGATTTTTAAAAACAAAACCATGCTCACTTAGGACAAAAGCAACTTTTCCATGTTTAAAAAAAATGCCCCTGGTACGTGACCTATATCTCTGATTTCCAATGAATCAATGGAAAAACAGACCACGCTATTTCCACTTGGAACAGCATCCAGTAACATTAGGAATTTACCCTTTAATTCATTCTCCAATTTTTTTCATCACTCCATTTTAGAAAATCTTGGCGTTTGAAAAAACTCTAATGAAAATATATGCCAAGGTTTATCATTGAAACAAAATAAGTGCATATTGATAAATGCATTTGCTATAGCCTATTTATGAATTTGTTCTAACACTAATTTAAAGTACATTGTTTATATTTGTCATAGTCTGCAAATGGGACATTCAAATTAATTTAATATTTTGGGTTCTTTGTAGTTTCTATATATAGCAATCAATTATCACTGTTCAGAGATTCATGTAATTAAGCTCACTTAGTACCAAAGCTATAATGACCATAATTCAAGTTGCCACAATGAATGAAAAGCTCACAAAGTATCTCACATTATCATTGTAAACATAACCTGCCATCAGATAGAACTTGCAAAACATAATAATTAATTGACATTTCTGGTTTAGAAGTCCTAAATAAAAAAGGGTGTACCACGAAACAAGGCTTGAGTTTTATTAAAATCACTATAAACCAACCCAGACTGACACCAAGTTGATGCTAACTCATAGCAACCCAGTAGGACCGGGCAGAGCCACCCCGTGCGTTTCCACGACTGGAACTCTTTAGGGGAGTAGAAAGCCCCACTCTGCTTGCATGGTCATCTTTATTCCTTGATGACTTATGGCCTATCTTGCCCAACGAGGAGCAGGTCAATGCTGGGGCAGCTTAAGGAACGCAAACGGGAATAAATGAAAGGTTTTCTCCCTTCTGGTGACCATAGTGTTGGACTGCTAACTGCAAGGTCAGCAGTTGAAAACCGCTGGCTACTCCACTGGAGAACAATGAGGCTTCCTATTCCTGTTTCCAAAACCCACAGGGGCAATTCTAGTCTGTCCTATAGGGCTGCTCTGCACTGGATTTGACTCAATGGAAGTGAATTTGTAGGATTACAAAAAAAAAGGTGGCCATAGGGATTTGCCCTGGAACACACACGGGAAGAGTTAATGAGTACCTTTCAATAAACTCAAGTAACATCTCGCATCTGCTTAACTAGAACATAACTTAAAGAGTGCTTGATTTCCCTTATTTCTTTTTTTAAAAATCATTTTATTGGGGGCTCTTACAACTCTTGTTACAAACGATGCATCAATTGTATCAGGCATATTCATACATATATTCCATCAATCTTTTCTAGACATTTACTTTCCATTGAGTCCTTGGGATCAGCTCCTCCTTTTTTCCCTCCCTCCTACGCACCCCCAACCCTCATGGCCCCCTGATAAGATTGTAGATTGTTAATTATTTTCAAATCTCACTCCAACCGCTGGTTTCTGCTATTCTTCCCCGACTGGGTGTGTGTGGTTATGTGCCATTCATTGCAATTGGTGCCCCCACTCCCTCCCCCTTCTTCCCCTCCTCTCCCCCCCTCCCCTACCCTTTCGGTATCTCTAGTCCCATTCCTGTTCCTGGGTTCCGTGTGTTGTGAGTTTGATCTCTTGCCAATAACTACGTGCATGCTCCCGTCTAGTCTAGATTTGGAGGTGCACTGAGGTCATGATAGCAGGGGGTGAGGAGGCCTCCAGGGAGCAGAGGTATATTGCACAATCCATTAGTGCTCTACTGCACCCTGATACTTAAAGAAAACAGAAACTGATCTACCTTATGACCCAGCCATCCCTCTACTGGGCATATACCCAGAGGAGGTAAGAAATAAAATACAACCGGTCATCTGTGCTTATTGTGGTGCAATTTACAATCACAAAGACTTAGAAACAGCCTAAATATCCATCGATAGATGAGTGGATTAGTAAACTCTGGCACATACACAGAATGGAGTACTATGCAGCACTGAAAAGCACAGATTACCACATGAAACACGTTGTTTCATGGGAAAAGTTGGAAGGAATCACGTTAAGCAAGGTAAGCCAATGTCAAAAGGACAAGTATAACATGAGTCCCCTGAGGTAAGTACAATCAGTGCAGCAGGAATAGCAGAAAAGAGACTTATCTCACAACATAGGCAGTCGGGGTGAGGTCAGACCAAACCCAGGAAGGTCATGTGAATCCAACATAAAGAAGGGGGGAGGGGGGAGGTGGCGGAAGAATGGGGGTGGGGTGAAACTGAGATGATGACATGGGGGGAACAGGGCACTAACCCACCCAGGGGGAGAGTACTGGTTGTGTCTCCACAGATTTGGAGTGTGCATACAGACCCCACCATGGCACGCCAAACCAGGAGGGCAACATAACACATGGAGAATCCATGAAGAAACTGGACTACAGGGTCAGCCCCAACCAGAACCAGCCTGACCCCCACCCTGGAAGTGTGTGCCGCAGAGAATGGCACTAGACCTTCTGGTGGGGGAAAGGAACCGATCTACCACACCCACATGGAGGCAAGCCAAGAAGGAAACAGAGAAAGGGGCAGGCGGCCTAGACTCCATGGGCACCCAAGCCCAGAGGATGGGGTCCCTGCACGGAGCTGCTGGGGCACAGAGAGGACTCTGGGACTGCCAACAGCTCAAGACATGTTGTCCCCTAACTGGAGCATACATTGCCAGGGGACAATAATGGGGACACACAGTGGGGAGACAGTGCGGGAATGGAGCATAACAGAACAGCAATCAGAGTAAAGCCAAGCACAGAGCCCCTAAGGAGCCCCAAGAATGGACTTCGAGTGAGGAAGGGTAGCCCCAGATCCCCGTCAGGACCAGGGGGAGGGTTCCATGGGGACCAGCAAACAGCCATGGGTCTATCTAGGATCTTTTTTCTTTTCTCTCATTTTTTCTATTCCCTTTTCTTTCTTCAACTGTAGGTTTTCTTATTGTTCGGACTAGGACATGGATGGGTTGCCTAACTACATGGGTTGGACCATGGGAGAGAAACGGAGGGAGAACACAATGGGGCCAATGACCCTGGAATGCAGAGGGGGGAGAAGGAGGTGCGAAGAAGGGTGTGGTGAGCAGAGGGCATCATGGACAGGGGGACAACTAGGGAAGCAGAACCAGCCTCTAGGAGAGGGTGGAGATCCTGTGAGCATTAGAGCAACACCAAGCCAGTGGAGAGGAAGCACTGAGAGGGGGAAGAAGGGGGAAAGTGATGGGGGGCAGGAGGAGGGAAAAGGAAACAGAGGCCAGCTCTAGGAAGCAAAGGCATGGATGGGGAGATGAACAGAGGTGTGCACTAATGCAAATACATTAATCCACAACAACAGTGGTATGGGCCTATGCACTTACATTTATAAGGCACTACACTGAGGGTGCAGACAGACCTTGGGCTTCAACTCACACCTTCCCTCAATACAAGAACACTTTGTTCTAACAAACTGGCATTCTGTGATGCTCACACCCCACCCCACCCTGCACACACACACACACACACACACACACACACACACATTGAAGACTGAATGGGTGCACAGGCAGATGTGGTGAGGACAGAGGATGGTGCCCGGCTATTAAAGATACAGTGTCTGGGTCTTAAAGGCTTGTAGTTAAACAAGCGGCCATCCAACAGTGAAGCAACAGGCCCACATGGAAGAAGCGGAGCAGCCAGTGAGATTGTGAGGTGTCGAGACTGGGCAACGAGTATCAGAAGATTCACAATAAACAGTAAACAAACAAACAAAAACGCACTGGTGAGAATACAGGGGGGTTGGAGCAGAGACCCAAAGCCCATCTGTGGACAATGGAACATCCCCACACACAGGGGTCGCAGGGAGGGGGTGAATCAATGATTTCCCTTTTTTCAATTCCCCATAATACCAAATCCAAGCACAGTTTTGTAATTTACTCATGTGTATAATGATGAATACATTTTGTTTTCATACATTACTAAAACACGAAGGCTTAAGATAGACTGCTCTTATGTTTACCTTCTTACTAAGAAATATGCTTTCTTTCTAAACGTAAACATTCTATGTTTACAGCGGCAGAAGCAAGTGAGGTAGCATGTACAAATTATGGTTTATAAACCCGTGTGGTCTGGTTCAACTTACCAGGCATTTCTTATTTTTATTTTCTCCAAATGAAACCTCAGGTTAAATATTATAAAACCTCCCTAATCATCAAGGATCATACCAGAGAAATGTTCATTAAAGTATATAGGGCAATGTTTTCATGATCAGCAAAGGCTCAGTTTTTACTACACAAAATATGATGCATATAAAACTTTCCACTCTTTATTAGTTTGTCGTACTTTGGTAGTTTATGAGTTGCTGTGATGCTGGAAACGATGCCATCGTACAGTTAATGGTACGGAGGTAGACACAGCTGATCTCCTCAGGCTTCCCTCTGGCCAAGAGGGAGGGATCAGATGTGCCCCCGGGGTCGTTCCTTCTGTACTACTCTAGTACCAACCTTTCCATCACACCACTCTCCATCGATGCTGGTTTTGGTCATATGTTGCCATGGTCACACAGAACTCAGACAATACTCACAACGAAGAGAGTTTATTAGGGACATGAATAGGCTGCCACCAGTCATGATGGGTAAACTGTAAGGCTCTAGTCATTGGTCCAAAGCAACACCTCTCCTTGGTCAGCAACCAAGTCTCTCTCTTGGTTTATGCCTCTGTAGGCCAGGAAGCCAGTCAGGCCATTGCTCTGCCTCACAGTCTGAGAGCCTCGGAGCAGAGGAGGAGAAGGCGCCCCATAGACTCTCCTTGCCATTGTCTGAAACAACTGCTGTTGGTGGAGGACTTTGGACAGAGGTCTAGAGCCTCTGATCCTGGGATTTCTCTCCCGCTCTCCTTCCCAGGTGGCTCGGATACTGGGAGGAAAGACTTGGAGGGAGCTGTGCTTTTTGTCTTTTCGCTC